ATCGGTCGGCGTATCTAAATTTGGATCGAGGTCTATATGCGCACTGATATATTTTTTATACTTTAACCAATTTGTAGCCCTTGTCGTGAGCATATAGGGTGACTCTTTTTCTTTCGGCTGATGCCACAAGGTGAAAAGTACAGGTGAGTGGTCTGACGAGAGATCTGCAACTGATTCTGTACTAATAAGGCCGCGAGGAATTTTCCTTGTCACCGAGAAACGTAATCGAGTTTGTTTCTTCTACATATAAGCGCGTTATATAATTGCTTGCCTTTAGGGTTGGACAAGCGTGAGCCCCAGTGAGGGTGCTTCGCATTATAATCACCTGCAGCAAGGAAGCGCTCTCCCAGCGAACTGAAGAAATCCATAAACTGTTTTTCTGTTATCGTGAAACGTGGGGGACAATAAACCGCGGACAGCGTAATATCACCTTGCTTTGTTTGTACGCATATTGATGTTGCTTGCAGATAATTCTCGGCAATTCCAGTCAAATGATGGTGTTTAATCCGGTTTCTGACTAAAATACCAGTTCCGCCATGCGCCTTTCCATCTGGATGATTCGTGCAATAAAAGGTATATCCCGAAATGTCAAAATTATATCTATTAGTTAGGTGTGTTTCAGCAAGGAGCATTATGTCAATTTCCTTGTCCTTAAGAAATTTTGACAGCTCTAGTTTGTGGCGAGGAATGCCATTTGCATTCCAGAGGGCTATTTTAAGTAAGGTCATTATCTTGTTTGCTGAGTAGCAAGCAGGTTGAGCAGCGTATTTTGATTTCGCATGAGTTCTTGCATTGTGTTTTGCATGAAAGTCATGAAATTCATCATGCTTTGTTGCATCGACGCTATCATAGCTTCGATATTGGATTGTTTACCATATTGTGCATGGGGATGCTGTTCTTGCGGCGCAACTTGAGATGCAGTTTTTGTAGGGGCACGGTTTTCTAAGCCTGATTTTAAGGCACTTGCAAACGAGACGCCATTGACGGTGTTTGATAGAACTGTTGGCGACGTGGCTCTTTTGGCGAAGAAGGCGTCAGGATTCGTTTGGGAGGGTACAAAGGCATTCGGTACATTATGAGTACGTATGGAAGCCACGCGTTGGTTGATCCGGTTTTTTAACTCCTTATAGACTGGACAGCCTCTGTAGTTTGCTGTGTGATTTCCACCGCAGTTACCACATTTTTTTGCACGCGGGTCTTCTTTGTTTGATGTGCAAGTGGCAGAGACATGTAGCTCTCCACAAGCTACGCACACTGAGCGAAGCGTGCAGTAAGACCTAGTATGACCATACTCCTGGCAGTTGGTGCATTGTACAGGGCCATTTCTCTTATGCGGTTCTTCCACAGTTATCCTACGATGCAGCAGATATTGTAATTTATAAATTGGATGCACATCGTTTTTGCCCAGAGGTTTGTTTTCAGGCTCGAGCTCAACTTTAAACATAGGTTGAGGGATTTTGTTCCTATTAAAAATATTCACAGCAGCTTTTGGATTGAAACCTTGTTCTTTAAGTGCTTCCAAAACTTCCACAGCTTCAACGCTTGGTTCGATACCTTTAACTACAATTTGTAGACCTTTTGCACTTTTAAGTTGGTATGTATAAAATTTTGTGTTTGTGTCATTCAGGTATTTGGACACTGTTCGAAAATCCTGTTCGGAATAAATTTGTACTTTAGTTTCGCGAATATTTCCCTTAGATAGTGGGATAATATGAAATTTATTACTACCGATTAGCTGTGTGAATTTTTTTACAAGAGCGCTTGGATTCTCTTCTCTTATAAAAATGGGCGGAGGTTTGGCATTAGTAGCTTTTGCAGCACCTTCAGAAATTTGGCTATTCACATCATCGGCATTGTCACTTAGCAGTGCAAATCTATTCGTACTGACTTGCTGAGTTGAGGTAAGGCGGTTTATTTTTGTCTTACTGCCCGTTGAATTTTGCGGACTAAGTTTTCTTTTTATTGTAACATAGCGGTCCATTCCAGTCTGTATGGCCGCATTTTTAGTTGTTTCGTTTTTCAACCTTTCTTGCGCTTTACCTTTGTTGCCAGTGCTTGCACTCAAGTTAATTTGTGCTTGTGCAGCAAGAATAGGCCGGGCTGTTGACACCGCTGTGCAGTCGGCAGGTACCGGTGTGTTTGTTGTTGTTGTTGGCGCGATAGAGGTAGTGAAACATGTCGCTGTACTAGTTGTTGTTGCCGCTATATTTGGGGATATGTTATCGCTTACCGAATTTGATGTAAGCGTTGGGCGTGAAATGTGATACGGCACAGGTGAAGCGCACTCTTCACTCCAAGGCATCGGAGTCGTCAATGGTAAGTTTGGAGGACAAGTCCGCTGACCTGAATCTTGAGGGGGTTTGAGGGTGGTCGATGGATTGGGCTTTGCGCTTTCGCTGTCACTCTGGGACCGAATAGAGAAATATGCGTTGTTGCGTTGAACTGAAAGCCGGCGCTCATTTTGCTCGCGTTGCTTCTGAGCTCGGATTTCAGCTTGACTCATCGCTTTCTGTTTTCATTTGGTTTGTTTGTTTATTTTACTTATTTATTTTATTTTTTT